GTGTGTGGTGTTCACACGTGTGCTGTTTCCAGCTATATATATATATATATATATATATATATATATATATACACACACACAGAGCCTTCTTATCTATATTTTTTCGTGCGTAAAACTAGAATCAGTATCAAATTATTTAAGATTAAATTAAGGAAAACTAATATGTAACGTAATCATTAAAACTGTAATAATTGAATCTTTTATGTAAAAATCTTTAATGCTAATATTCCCATTGAAATTATATGTAATTCAATATTATATAGGAATAAAATATATTAAAAATGTCACCTTTTAAAAATATTTTATGAATCATAATAATGAAGAATATTCATTTTAAAATATGACAATATAAAATTAAAAATTTGATGATTCGTGCATAGTATAACCAATGTGGGTAAAATCGAACAATAAATTAACTGCGTATAAACATTTAAAGAAAATATCAAAAAGAAAATATTGAGCAGCTTTAAAAATAAAAAAACAATTGATTTAGAAATATAAGAAAACATAAACATATGAAAATGCAAAACCAATAATTGATCCTTAAAATATTTATTAAACACAGCGTAGAACCTGACTTGAAACTCCAGGGAATGTGCCATACATCACACAACAACAAGGAAATAATACACGACAATGCCTTTAGTTTGAGTACCGACATACTTAGACCGACTTAGATAAAGACTAAAAAGACTATTCAAAACAACAACATATGACCGTGAAGCATCACTTCCTCAGCAAATTTCCTGAGAAAATCCTCTTGCAAAAAGGACTGGAGCGCAACATTTTGTAATTACGAATTGCATCAACCAAAGAAGCATGCAGAAGGCCCTGTCACACATAATCTTAGTAATTATTAAGAATTCTCACAATCATTTATTATTATATGCTGTGCAAGTAATATTTTCAAACCTTGGTGAAGGTGAGAGCAGATTGAATGACATAATTGGCATATGGATCTTGCAAAAGTCGTTCAAAATGAGGGGCAGCCAGTAATTCTCGAACTATCCTGGACCTCGTATCTCCAACATTTCTGAGACATTTTTCAACCACATGACTGCTGAATTTCTGTGTAGACAAATGTACATAATTCCCTTTAAACTGACCAAGCATTTTGGCTACGGCAGTTGGAGTATCAGTTTCTATAATATATTGAACAACATAGTTTCTGCAAAAAATTATTTATGAGTGTAACTCAGTGTATCAAAACAATGGATAGATTAGGAAACTTTTTGAATGGGATTACCAACAAAATATTTACAACAGAAACTATGCAATTTCTAATATAAATGAATAATATACTGATGTCCAAATAAAAAATTATCGTATCAAATGGATTCAATTACCCAAATGGATCCTGGGCGAGGAGAAGTCCATGCTTGCATATTTCTGAGATCAGCCTATCTCGATTTTTACCCATAGAGTAATAAATACAGCGTTGCAGTACACAGCATCCATGCTGATGAGTAGCTACTTCAACACAATACTTCACAGAAGCATCAAAGATAAACTGCAAGAGAAAGGATATGTTTAAATATCAAACAATGAGTAATATATACATACTAGCACTGTTTTGGGTTATCCGGCCCAATATACACAACTACCATATCAATGGAAAGAAAACTGTCGTGAACATTATGAGTACTGTGTTCGTATTGTTAAGAATCCACGTTCTGAGTATATGATATCTTCATATAAAAATAAGTCCCATTTCCATTTTAGACAATCCCAAGGATAATATGATGATGATATGACTGTTCCAATCCAAGTATACTTTTCTATACTGCATTGTAATATAATTTCATCACAATGTTTAATAAATTCAAAACGTATTCAATTTTTACAAAGAACATGCACAAGTATGATGTAACAACATAAGACACTAGAAGAGTAAAAGGTAGGAGAGAGTTATACCTGGTTATCTTGAGAGCTGAAGCATTGCAAGCAACGTTGAATGACGTGGTTTCCATTCAGATCCTTAATAAGATCAAGAAAACCCGGTTGAATGGCAGACTTGACCAATGAAATTTGATCATCGGAATCGAGGGTCTCAATCAACTTCTGCACCACGCGCGTGCTGTTTACAGTGACACTGTTAGCTCAGTGGCCAAACCACGCAACAAAACAAAACGCCTGCTTCATTTTATTTTATTTTATTTTTTCTACTGGTGTGTGTAGAAGAAGAAACTTTTTATAGAATATGAAGAAATATACCCGTGAGTATTCAAAGAGATTCTAACGAGCTGGCCTGGTCGATTAGTCAACATGAGCACAATCTGCAGTCGTTGATGATCGGTGCAAACATCGAGCAACTTCTGCACCAGATAATTCCCGAAAGAATCCACCATAAGTTCAACAACACTCCCGATGATTCCCTCAAATACAACACACATATCTTCGAAGCTTCCCTCATCAACCTTCCGCTGCAGGAAACGACAACCGTTCTGATCCTTTGCCAGGTTGTAAATGCAACGCTGAGACTCCGGCACAGAATAATAATCCAGTGGCATGGGCAGTGAGAATTCCCCAGCGTTTTGACCAGAAGGACCACCAGGAAAAATGTTCTTGGAAACACTGCCACTCACACAAAACTCGTCACGGGGAGGACCCCTTCTATGAGAAGAACCATACCCATTCTCAAAGCAGTGTCTTGAATCTCTCCCTTGCAAGATAATGCTATTGTCACACCTAAAAGCCGCAGGGTCTCCCCCCACTCTCCTCGGAGGCAGAAAGTGAGGAGGTTCAGTCTTATCTTTCGCTGAAACATAATGATGCGAAGGATTATTAGCATTGCAATTCATAGCCGCAATAGAAGATAACCTGACGAAGCTATTGAACCCTCCGGAAGAATGTGGAGCCATATAACGATCACGAATAATGGGATAGTTGCCACTACTTGTGGCCTGTAACTGATTCCTCCTCTGGTCCACGGGGTGATGATACAGAAGGTTACCTTGATCATCTGGAGTGTCAAAAGTGTGACCTTTATCGAAAATTCCAGCGTTATTAACATGGTGGTGATAGGGGAGGAGGGTTCCGGTTTCAGTGAACAATCCGGCGTTGTTAACATGGTGGTGATAAGGAAGGTTCTCCGTCCCGTTGAACAAAGCCGAATTGTTAACATGATAGGGGAGAATTCCTTGTTCATTGAACAAGCGGGCATTGTTGACATGGGGATGGCATGGAAGGTTTTCTGTTTCATTGAAACCAGAATCATACGGGTTTGGAAGGGTTCCTGGTTGATTAAAATAAGGACAGGGGTCCACATCGGTTTGGATTTGATCGAGGAGATTCATTTTGGAGAAATCGGAAATCAGTGAGGAATCATGGGCCCAGTTGGTGTGGGTGTGAGTGAGAGTGGAAGGGTGATGGTCCACCCAGAATTTGGGAGAGGGAGGTGCTGCTGAATATGGAGGAACCCTGGTAATGGGGGACCCAACAGCCACGTGGTCAGGGTGAAGGACGCGGAGACAGGATAGTGGTGTGGAGGTTGGTGTGGAATTGGATGCATCGGGATTTGCAACAAACCTCGTTTCTCCTCCTTCTGCTGCCGCGCCTCTCTTGTCCTCTGACATGTTTACGATGTGTGCCTCCATGACTCAGGTTTTTTTTGTTGTTTTGAAGTGAAAAAGAGTGAAACAGAATTAGAAAGTATAGACTACTCAGCAAAGAGAGTGCCTATGAATCAGGTGGATTTGATTCCATAGGATTTCGATTGCTACACTGCCAATGACTGATACAGGTTTAGCAAAGCACTCACTAGTTTTAAACTTTTTATTACCCTAATCCTATTTATATTATATCCTCATATCAAGTAAAACTCATCCTATTTTCTCCATAAATATATTTATATATATCTTCCATATTATTTCCTTTTATTAACAGAATCTAATCAAATAAATTTGACTTTTTTAATCTGAATTTATTCTGTTAAGATTTATCAATAATTCAAATTATCTTTCTATTGTTTAATATAAAAGGCAAATTTAACTTCAATTCTGTTATTGGAAGCTAAAACAAGTTTATTGGGTTATCTGTAAATATTACACGAATCTTATTAACTAATTTTTAAATATATAATATATAATATAATGCGTTATTGTGTTCGTTAAAATTTGGAAAAATAAAATAATAATAAACAAATATGCGATAGAATAAATTCACATTCCAAATAATAAATCTATATATTCATATTCATAATAGTAACAATTTAGATTATTTAAATTATAATAAGCACTAAAACTTACAATATCATTGGGAAAACAAACAAAATAATATTAGTAACATGTTTACTATAATAAGTTTGATTTAAACAATATCGCGGTAATTTTCAAAATAATCAAAATAATAGGTCATTCTTCCACCCGACACGCCAACATACTTATATAAAGTTGTTTTAGAAGTTTGATGTGATACTTAAATTGGAAGAAGATATTAAAAGAGATATAGAAAAGCTTGTAAATTTATCGTAATAACTATATGTTGCATAAGAAAATTATATTTGAATTTGGATTTTATCTTAAGTTTTTTTTTTATGATTTTTTATGTGTATTTAAATATTCATTTGATATTTTAAAACATATTAATTATTTTAATATATTAAAATTAGTGTATTTTAAAAACATAGTAGAGAGATAATACTAAAAATTCTAGTAGAAAATATAAGTTCCTTATCTTTATTTCTAGTATGACCGTAAATTTGAAATAAAGTTAAAATTTTTTTATTTTTATTTGTATTTTATAAACAGAGTTATATTTTTAAGTAGTTTTCTATGTATAACGAATTGATTTTTTATTTTGATAGAGGACATACAAGATGAAGATTTATCAAGAATATTTGAAATCTTTTTAGTACTTAATATGCTTTAGTTTTTAGAATAGTTCTAAGGTAAGGCTTAAGTATATTCAATTAAATTTTTGTTTATTTTTTATTTAATGTCTTCGAAATTTTAAGCTGAGTCTATTTTAATTTGATTTATTGTTTATTTAAATGTTTTTTGTGAAGGAAAATAAGTACAATGTTTATTGTGCATAGTCTCAAATTGGTCATTAATTTGTAAAGAATCGAATTGCAATCTAATATCTATATTTTCAGCATGTAGAAGAGTCTTTATTTTGTTAATGTGCCACATCGGAAAATTTTGGTTTTTCTTTGATTGTATAACTCTTTAACATGTATTCTTATTTATTTTAGAAAGAGGTGTGAACTTATTTTAATATTTTGTCAGTCTTATATATTAACAATAACTAATTAATTATTTAACATTATTGTAACTTTTTAAAGCCCAATATTAACCTATTTAAATACCTTTTTATGAAATATACCTTGAATAGTCTAACCATGGCTTAAAAGACCTGTAACAGTAACATCCAGATCAAAAAAATTATATAAAAGCTATATTGTTTAATATAACTATTCTATTTAATTAAAAATGGTAAAAAATTAATTAAATAACTTAATGATGAAATAATGATATTTTTAGCTATGTATTTGAAATTCATGAAAAAAATATTTTTTGTTAAAACAAATATTTGCTAAGGATTTTGTTAACTTTGATAAGAGAAGTTAGAGCAATAAAACAGGAATAAAAGAGTTATAAATGAGAGAATTCCAATTTCAAATTTTAAATAATTAATAAATGTAAGACCTTGAGATATCTGGGAAGTGATTTGGTAATGGACATAAAAGTGAGCATACTTAATTTTATCTAAATTACTGTTTTACCCAATATGAATTAAACCAGTTAAATATAAAGTATTTTCTCCTTGATATAAGATCTATTAACAGAATATATAAACCAATAAAACTAATTAATTCAGTTCAGTTGACTATTTAAGAAAAGGTTACCGTATTTATTCTTAATCATATATAATTTTTCATAAAAATATATATTTACTCAAAATATTCAATAAAGATAAAAATTAAATTAATATTATACATAAAAAGTAAAATACTTTATAAAATTCACCACTGTTCTCTTCTAGAATATAAATAATAAGCCAAAGAAATATATCATTAAATAGAGTTAAAGAAGAAAAAATGTTATCATATCTAATGTAGTATCTAAAGCTTTCTTGTATTTAAAGTTATTTTACAGAAACAAATAACCAAATCCTAAAATTATTTTTTATTATATATATATATATATATATATATATATATGGATTTGCGCACGTATCCTGTTTTTCAGTTGGTACATTTTAACAATATGTAGCGAATTTTAGTAAACAAAAATATCGTTCTATATCATGATTATAAGTTTTAAGGTTAAGGGTATTTGAATAATTTCATTATCAAAACTAAAAAAACAAGAAACCCCAAACCCTTACTCACCTCTCTCATTCCTCTCAACCCTTTCTCTTTCACCTCTCTCACTCTAACATTTTCTGTCACCCTACTGTATCCCAAGTGAAAAACTCATAAACTTAGAAATAGAGTGAGAGAGATGGAAGAGAAAGGGTTGAGAGGAATGAGGGAGGTGAGTAAGGGTTTTGGGTTTCTTATTTTTTTTAGTTTTGAGAATGAAATTATTCAAAAGAGACTTTTATGTTGATAGGGAAGTCATCCAAATGCTTAAACTGAGACTACTTTTAATATGTTTTTTCTGACGTTGAATGATGTTTAAATGTGTTTAAATATTTTTTACATGATTAACAAGTTGTTAAATAGTATTAAAAGGAATGTGATGTTAAAATTTATGTTGAATGTAAGATGTTATTAACTTATTATTAAAACGGTTAAAAATAAGTTTGTTGTAATTGATTAAGTAACTTTTCTGTTAAAATTGTTTGGATACACAAGGATGCTTAGCATTCTATTTTAATCTATTAAGAAAATAATTTAATCGATTAAAATTGTCAGTATATTTCCAATATATAAGAACATCTTAAACAAAAAAAATCAAGAAAATCAAAGTTGCAAGCCTTCAAAAAACAAATAAAAGATATTAGAGGAGTTTGAAGTATTAGGTTTTATCTTTACTATAAATTCTGAAAATTGTTGAGTTAATTCTTGCTTTGGTTAAAGATTTAGACTTCTGGAATTTTTTATTTTATAATCTTGACACTTTCTCATAGTGGATTTCCTTCTAGTTCAGGTTCTTGGAAGAATACTAGATTTAAACTCTTGTTTTGTTTCAAAAAAATTTAATATTTTAAAAGATTGAAAAGTTCATTGAAAACAATTTAATGCACCAGGAATTTTCAAGAAGTTTAAAACCAGTTTTAAACTAATTCATTCCTTTTGGTTGAGATATATTGTTCCTACAATTTTAACAATTGGCGCTCGCTCGTTAATAGAATATTAATCAGTTAAAAAGATCGGCTAATATATCTCAAACATTTGTTGAAGGGGCATGCATAAATAGACCACACTTTTTGTTTGTGGGAGAGAATTACCCATTTTGGAAAATATGAATGAAAATCTTTTTAGAATTAATGGATAAAGGTGTATGAGATGTTGTTGTTAATGGTTCCTTTCAATTCACAAAGACGGAATATGGTAAGACTATGCCTAAAGAATTTTTACAATGGACTCTTTATGAAAACAATAGAGCACAGAGCGCAATATGATGTAAAACCAAAAACATTATATCCTCTACACTAGCCCTTAATGAATTGAAAGCAATATGAGTAATTTTGAATCTGAAAGCATTTAAAATAAGTATTATCAACTACTTGATGTATTTGAAGATTGCACGAGAAAGTTAGGAAACTCCAGTACTCAAATAATAAGTATAAAGTGAAAACAAGTGGCTAGAAAACAAAATAAAGATTCTGAAAAATGAGAGTTTGAAATCAAAACTAGAATCTCTAGAAAAATGTCACCATGCATGAAAACAAGGAATGTGCTCAATATTGTGAAAATTGTTCAAAACAAATGGAAAGAATTAAATACCTTATGAAAATCTTGTCTAAATTCACTATAGGAACTTCAAATTTTGATGTTCTTCTTGGTTCACAAATGATTGTGTTGAATAGAAAAGGAATAAAGTATGTTGGTAAGAATAATCGATTAAAAGCCAGAAAGTTTATTGACATAAGAAAACCCTCAATTGTATGTTTTTACTACAATCATCTAGGTCATGCATCAAATTCATGCTATTACAAGAATCATGGTGTTCCTAAAGGAAAGTTTAAATTGGTTCCTAAGAAATCATTGAAACCCCTTAACATGAAAGGAACTAAATTTAATTGGGTACCTGCCACTACTCTCCAATTTGTGTTGCAGGATAATCAAAGAGAAAATAAGTCCATGTGGTACCTAGAAAGTGGTTGCTCAAGGCATATGACTGGAGATACAAGCAAGTTCAACCATTTATCCTACAAAACCAGTGGACATGTC